GGCGGAGGAGTTCAGTGACAGCTTGGTGAGGAATCACTCCCTCTCCTTCTGATTCCTCCCTTTCTCCCCCTGTCTCTCCCCTTCCCCTTTTAATCAGTCACCCTCTCTCTGTGTGCAGGAGAAGCAGAATGAGGCTCGATATCTGCAGGACCACAAAGAGGAACTCATAGAGGAACTCGCCACAACTATCGTACAAAAAGTACGTTGAGGAAAGTTTTAATTTCCCTTTCTGTGTCGAAGTGTAGTAAGCCTTTTCCAAATGTAAATGCACAATATAAAATGAAATACAATAAGCTAGGTCTCTCCTTGGTATTCACTTTCTTTGACATGACATTTTGTAAGAGAAATAGCACGGGAACACAGTCATTAAAGTTATTTCTTCTTCTGAAATTGGGATCACAGAACGACTTTAGCAAAGGTTAGCCTGACTTTAGTTAGTGTAGATTTACAGTAGGTTGATTGCGTCCTGCTTTAATTAACATGTGTCCGATATCTGAACTGTAAGGCAGTTGGTGTGTTACATTAAAAGAGAGTTCAAATGGAAACTGGATATTGGTTTTAAAGTTTTATTATAGAAAATGATTAATTCCTTTGTGCAAATGTAATAAGCTGTAATGGGATTTAATTAGCATTTTCAGAGTTGCAATTATTATAATTTCTTATTTGAGTTAAGCTTGCAGCGTGCTTGCAAACCTCGCAGCTCTCAGTCCGACCTCTTTCACGTTTTGTATACCTCGCATAATACATATATATCTGTTCTTAATAAAAGGCTTGATAACATTTGCTCTATCCTTCTTCTTTTTTCTTTACTTTGTTTATTGGGTTTTTTCAACAGCATACAGTTATTCTATCAGAGCATGTATCAAAGGTAGGTAAACAGATCTTCACTTTATAGAAAGATGGATAGAGTAACAATGTAAATACTGCTTAACACCAGAGGCCTCTACTACGATGCCGGATGTTCTCTTAGCCGGCTAACTTCAGGGAAAACTCTGGGTTTCCGGTCCTACGAAGCTGGTTCACTTCTTAGCGGGCTAGATCTCCATGGTAACTGATACTGAACGGCTAGCCTGCTCCGGAGCAGGTTGGGTTCCAGGATAAGAGATCAACTCAGTGAAAGCACTGCCTGCTGACCAATCAGAGCTCAGTGTGCAGAGTTCAAAGCGATCAAGTCATATTACAGGAGAAAGGAAATACAGAAAAACTGCCGTTGCAAAAAAGACGGCCGGCAAAAATCACCGACTGTGTGAACGTGAACATTAATAGAATATCACCTCCCATCTTCAGAGCAATCTGACTATTATAACATTAGCGTTAAGAGTTAATTATTTAATTATTATTAAGAGTGAAGCGTAATTAAATATCTGCCACAACATAAGTAACCGGATCAAAGTAACATTACGTGCAGACGTCGATGTGTCCCATGATCATTCATATCACATCATAATGTATCATATATCTCCTTATCTGAGTCAGCTGAGCCGTATCTGGCCGTGCAACACTCACGGTGTCACATACTGTATGCAGAAGTATTATTTTAAGCAACACATTAAGTTGACGAAACACTCGAGACAAATGTAATTAAAGTCAGATCCACTCGTGTCTTAGACGGGGCAGTGATATCATAAACCTGTTAATGTACTCATTCAAACACTTTCTTTCTTTTACCAGCTGTCTTCACCTTGCAGGTGCAGCTATGTGGCTTTGATCCTGGATAAAGTGTTTAAGTCATGGATGTTTGAAGTTTAACTTCTTCATATGTCTAATATAATAGTTGACTTTTCATTCAGGAAGTATGACGCTGCGCTGTCAGTACGCTTGTCCATGTTTGTGATTGGTCAATTGTTGCTAACCCCGCCCCTAAACCCTGGCTTGAGTTACCGAGTTGATAACCAGCGTCGACTCGTAGGACCACTTAGCGAGAGCGCGTTTGTTTTGGATTAGTTAAACCAGATAACTCAAACATATCCAGGGTCTGTTGAACTGGATTTATTCTACGCAGACAGAATAAATAAAATACATTAAATCAATAAAATAAATCAATCAATTAAATCAAATTAATTAATAAAATATAAATAATAAATAAATAAATAAATAATAAATAAATAAATAGAAAACCAGTCAGCTAAAACAAAAATGTCAATAATGAAAAATAAATGTTAGTACAGCAGCACCAACTCCCCGCGACAACCCGTCCAGTGTCGGGACCCCTCCAAAATGCAAAAGTGTAATCAAGCTCTATCCTTCTTTATTCCCTCTCTGCTCAGATCATCCAGAGGAGGAAGCGCTCGGAGATGCAGACAGAGTACGACTTTGTCTGGCCGCAGCCTCAGAATCTGATCCAGTCCGGTGAACTCGCCTCTCCGTCGCAGCCTCAAGCGTCTTCACAAGCCCCCCAGGACCCTCTGAAGACCTCCTACTCTCTGTGGGTCAGTGATGAAATCTGCTCAAACAAACAAAAAAACACAAAGAAATGTCAACCGGATCCGGTGAAGTCCCCACAAAGCTGTGCTGTCAGCGCGTGTTCACCAGTTTCTAAACTCTTTGCAGATTTGGTTTTAAACAATAGTGGTTTGGTTTTCTCGCTTCGTTTCAGAGTTCAAACAGTGGAGGGTCTGTGTTTCGTTATGTGTTTCTCAGCCACTGTCTCTGTGTTTGCCATGTTTAAAAAAACACAGGAATGTTGTGTTTGGCATGAATCGTTTCAGTGGCACCCAGGAGACAACCTCCGCATCTGAAAAGTGAAGCCAAGTGTCTAAAACCTGATTTTCTTTCTCATCTCCAACAATGGTTATAAAATAATTCAGGTTATATAGAAGTCTATGATATCTTCTCCTAAAAATATCATGTTCAGCTCTAAGTGCCAACCTCTCATGTCAGTGCTGCTTTCAAAACAACTAGATAGTGGCGACCAAAGGGTGCCTTTTTATGTTGACTACTTCCTCTTTTATACAGATTATAGTAGACTGTAGTGGGGATGATGTGGTCTTATTAAGGGTTGCATTTCTCTTCGGATCTATGATGAGTTAGAATTCCTTTATTTTGTCCACTTAATGTTTTGCAGGATTCAGGTATTCTCCAAAAAAGTGCAAAAAGTTGACAATGATGTGGATTTTCATGCTTTCCTAGAAGCATATTCAACCAAAAAATGTGTTGAAATTGTCTCATTTAGAGGATTCCTCAGATTTGGTAGACAGTACACGTGCTGCTCTTTAGGTTCATCTACTGTATGCTTCAGGGAAAATAGCCCACTTAGCAACAAAATAGACCCCCAGGTGCCTGGCTTAGCTTTTCCCTTTAGAAGTGTTTTACAGTGGATTCTCCCCTTAAGTTAGCAAAGCCTTACAAATATTACAAATGTGTGCCAAGTAAATCCAAATCCACAGAATACCGGTTTCACTTAATGTTCCAGGTTTGAAAAAAACTACACACAGGGACTCACTGAGGTGTATAGTACACACACACACTCACACACACACACCTGCCTCTCACTACGAGTCAGCGGGGACTCCTGCAGATTTGTCATGGTCCCGTGTGTGAGCGAAGCTTCAAAGCTGCGCGCTCCCCTGGCCTCGCCGTTCTGTTTCCCGCTGTTTCACTCAGCGTAGATCAAAGTCCCGTGAAATACGTGGGGATCCCTACTCACACACACACACACACACACACACACACACACACACACACACACACACACACACACACACACACACACACACACACGGGATCTGTTTATCAGCTCTCTGCACACACTAAGACACCAGACATGCAAACACACACCCAAATCTGCACTGCCTCAACAATGATCCTTAGAGTAATCTGAACAGTGCATCCCATCCATTCTACAAACGTATATATTTTCTCTTCTGGTCTATATTTGAATATGAATGTACCTTTAGTACTTTAACTTGGATGTTAAGTCGTAGGAAAGACCGACTGTTCACCAATGAGATTTAAGTTTAGCTTGTGCACATGAATGAGCTTTAAATCCCCTCCATATTGTTCCTTTCATTCCCAGTGGAACAGCTACCAAATCTACACATGCATGTGTTTCTGAGAGGTGTATTGCTTGATACACCTGCATTGACTCCTGGGCAATAGCAATGCTAAATGTCACTATGAGTTAAACAAAAACAACAAAGCAAAATAAAAAAATGAAATACTATAAAACCATCAGATACATGGGGAAAAGCAGGCAGTTAAAATGTCTTTTTAGACTGTTTTGTAAGATGGAAGTCGAATTTGTTGACCCCAAATCTTTAGGATGAAGATCGAATTGACAAGATGAGTAAGAATAGACCTGTTAATTTGCCTTAAAGTTGAAGAGAGCAGGCAAAATGTCTTGCTCTAGTTTTTTTGCTTGTTTCTTTGATATAAAGACACGTTATAACGTGTCTTTATATTAAAGAAACAAGCAAAAAAACTAACTAACTAAAAACTAACTTATGATCCTACAACTTCCACAACATTTCTCTCACAGATGAGCCTCTGTTGTCTGTTTTGCTCTTTAGTTTTTGTCTAGCTCCCCCTGCTGGTGGGATTGTTGACTCACAGCCACAGCTTTACAGATTTCTGCCCAGACAGGAAGTAGACTAGCCAGCAGGGCTTCCCTTTATATTATGTAATTACTGTAAGTGGATATTATATGTGACTACTGCCGCCGTCCAGGCAGTTAAACCTGTCTGCAGCTGCTCAGACTCAAGTCAACAATGATCCTAGATACAGACCAGACTGATTTACTAGTTTACATTTCCAGAGTTTAAACATTTTATTTTCAGAGAGACTGATGCCTGAACTCGCTTATTGTTTATATCAGCAGAGGTGCATGCATTTGACTTTTTTTTTCTCACAAATCATATTTCTGTGTGTGTTTTACTGTGTTTTTTCTACAGCGTTCGCGCTCAGCGTTCTCCCTCACCAGTGACGACTCCCCAGAGAAGGGTCTGGAGGAAGAGGGGGGGGCCCAGGCCGGTGGAGGAGATTACACCTCTCTAAAGAGGGAGGGCAAGGCCACAGCACTCCCCAGCTGGAAGAGTGTGGACCGCCTGGACAACTCCAGTAAACATCACACACACACACACACACACACACACACACACACACACACACACACACACACACACACACACACACACACACACACACACACACACACACACACAGACACACACACACACACACACACACACACTCTCTCTCTCTCTCTCTCTCTCTCTCTCTCTCTCTCT